CCCCCCGGGCCCCTCCCGCCACAGCCCCCGGTACCCTGTCTGCTGGCAGCCCCGCTCCTGCCGCCGCTCCCATGCACTGCTGGCGCCAGCCCCAATCGCTCTGCACCCTCAGCGGGTGTGAGCTGCATCTGCTGCCCTGATCACCCTTCAGGAGCAGGGGGAGGTGGAGAAGCCCTAGGGGACAATCCGGGCTGCAGCCACCATTTGCACCTGCTGACGGCGCTGAGTGATCAGGGGACCGGCACTGCTGGCAGCGGGTGCGAGGTCGGCGCTGGCAGTGGGTGTGAGCAGCGGCTCCAGCACCGGCAGCGGGTGTGAGTGGTGGCTCGGGTGCCAATAGCAAATGCAAGTGGGGCCAGCGCCGGCAACAAGTGTGAGCACCCGGCAGGACCACGGCACACGCGGGAGCAAAGAATTTTCAGTAACCACCAGAGGCTCACCCCAATGACAGCTATTGGCGCCCTGCCGTGTCTGGCGTCCCCACTCACCTGCTCCACCATCCCGCCGCGGCCGATGCCAGCCATGTTCTATGCTCTTCCACCTGCTGCCGACACCTGCCATGTTCCGTGCACGCCCCCTGGTGGTCAGCACACGTCATAGTGACCGGTTGTCCGGTTGTTCAGTTCCATTGTTTGGTCTATTTGCATATTAGGGTTTTATATATATAGATATTTCATTCCCACTTAACAGGTGTCAGCTGTTAAAGCATGTTACATTTTTTGGGGACAACCTATATGTAGTTTTGTGGGTTTTTTTAAAATAAAAATGGATTCACATTCACTTCATTTTATCAGTTAATATATCCTGGATATCTTTCTGGGACCCTGTATATATTGTTAACTAATTCTTTTTTATTTTTTTAAAATATATTTTTGATTTCAGAGAGGAAAGGAGAGAGAGAGAGAACATCAATGATGAGAATCATTGATTGGCTGCCTCCTGCATACCCCCTACTGGGGATCAAGCCCGAAACCTGGGCATGTGCCCTTGACTGGAATTGAACCTGGGACCCTTCAGTCTGCAGGCTGATGCTCTATCCACTGAGCCTAACCAGCTAGGGCTCATTCTGGTTAACAGCATAATATTCTGTAGTATGTATGTACCATAATCTATTTAAATGCTCCCCCCAAAATAGACAATAGGGTTATTTCTGATTTTTGCCAATGGAAAGAATGGTACAGTACACATCCTTGCTCCTGTGTCCTGATGCTTTCAGTCTGGGGAACAGATTCCTTGAAGTTGGATGACTAGATCAAAGGTTTATGTGCCTTTACAATTTTAAGAGCTTCAGCCTAATAACTTCCTTAAAGGCTGAGGCCGTTGATATTCCCGCTGGCAATGTGCCAGTGTTCCCACAATCTTGATAGCCCTCGATGTTGCTTGTCCTAAGTTGTTTTGCCAATCTGATAGGCTGGTAACTTATTTTTTACCATATGCTTTGGGTGTGTCAAAATAGGCAGAAAAGCATTGATCGTACTGGCTCACGCAGAGAGGACATCCTTCAACTATGCCATGAAGGAAGCTGCTGTAGAGGCTCTGAAGAGGAAAGGATGGGGGGTCACTGTGTCAGACCTGTATGCCATGAACTTCAATCCCGTCATCTCCAGAAAGGACATTACAGGTAGGAGCCGCTCCCCCTTTAGTTAGGTCTTTGTGGAACTTCTCGCCTGTGGGTTCTCTGGTCCCACCTTGGCCCCAAGGCCTCACCCGCCCCCCCCCCTTTTCCTCTCTGCAGGTAAACTGAAGGACCCTGAGAACTTTAAGTATCCTGCCGAGTCTGTTCTGGCTTATAAAGAAGGCCGTCTGAGCCCAGATATTGTGGCTGAACAAAAGAAGCTGGAAGCTGCAGACCTTGTGATTTTTCAGGTGTGGTAGGACATCAGAAGGGTGTAGGGACACTTGAATTCTTTTTTTTAAATCCTCACCTGAGGATATGTTTTTATAAATTCGAGAGAGAGGAAGGGGGAAGAGGAGGAAGGGAGAAAGAGAAAAGTACTGATCAGTTGCCTCCTGTACCCTCCCTGCCCAGGGATTGAACCTGTAACCTGGGTATGTGTCCAGACTGGGAATCAAACCCACAACCCTTCGGGGCACGGGACAAGGCTCCAACCAACGGAGCCACACTGGCCAGAGTGGGACACTTGAATTCTTATTGTCCTAGACCTGACTTCTAATTAGCCATGTGATCTTAGAAAAGTCACTTACCCCCTTTACTGCATTCTCTGTAAAAAAAAAAAATAAAGGTCATTACTTCAAATGTACAGCTTTACACAGATTTATAGATGCTGTGAAACGGGCTGTGTTACTCTGAAAATATGAATGCAATTTTGAAGATGACATGTCAGTCTTCATCTTTTTTTCAATTAGTGATTTAAAAAATTTTTCAATTCCAGTTGACATTCAATATTATATTAGTTTGAGGTATACAATATAGTGGTTAGACATATAACTTATGAAGTGATTCCCCCCATAAGTTTAGTACCCACCTGGGACCATACTTAGTATTACAAGATTATTAACTATATTTGTTATGTGGTACATCCCCATGACTATTTTGTAATTGCCAATAGGTACTTCTTAATCCCTTCACCTTTTCACCCAGCTCCCTCACCCCCTCCCCTCTGGCAACCATCAGTTTGTTCTCTGTAACTATGAACCTATTTTATTTTTTCATAAATTTTGTTCTTTAGATTCCACATATAAGTGAAATCACATGGTATTTGTCTTTGTCTGTCTTATTGCACTTAGCATAATACCCTCTAGGTTAATCCATGCTGTTGCAAATGGTAAGATTTCATTCTTCTTTACGGCCGAGTGATATTCCATTGTGTATATGTACCATATCTTCTTTATCCACTTGTCTATTGATGGACACTTAGGTTCCTTTCTTGTCTTGGCTATTGTAAATAATGCTGCAATAAACCAATTAGTGATTCTTCATGGGATCTCTCAGTGAAGTCTGCATTCCCTCTCTCTGTTAGCATCTGGCCAGTTTGTGGAGTGATACCAGCCGATACGTATCGTCCTGCTTACTGTGTTTCAGCAGCAAACCATGGGCTTTCTTCTGGAAGCCACCTCACCATTTAGTAGTCAGTACTGGAAATGTATATGCCTCTTGTAAACCATATTTTTTTGAAAATACAAGATTGTACTCAATGACTTTGTTTCTATCAATTCCAACTAGCTTCTTGATCTTGAACATCGAATGTCTATGACAGTGAAAACATCATAAGAAGGGTGATATTGGCTGTGGTTTTTGCAATTATTCAGTCATCTGCAAAGAATCCTACCTTTGCAGTCTTATTCTACCCAAGGCCTGTTGCCATGAGTCAAAGCCACAAAGGATGCCTTCTTGGTCCAGGTTGTCTACTGTGTCTTTCTTATCCTAGTACAGCCAAGGCAGCAGCAGTAGCGGCTTTCAATCCCGCATCTCAGAATGACTGTATTTTAGAATTGGAAGGGACTTTGGTGGTCTTTTAATTTAGCTTCTATTCAATGCATATGTTTTCCTTACTATCCTGTCAGTACAACTGTGCAAGTTGTCACTGCAAAATAGCAACATACTAAAGGGCAATGTAAGCACTGCAGATTTGTATATTTATTTTAACAGTTTCCCAACATATGACAGGAAAAGTCTAGCTCTAGAAAAATCAGTGTGCTATGTATGATAGTCTTTCAACGTGGGAATAACGTGTCCTGGGAAGGAGTGCTTTAATTCATATCAAGGTGCCAAGGGCTAGTCCCCTGCTCAGTTTACTCACTTCTCCAAAAACAACTTGAGGGAGAGTCAACTCTTAAAACCCTGCAAGCCAACCACGTCTATTTTCAACTCTGACTGCAGCACATCCAAGGGAAGCTAATCTACTTGCCTAGACACCCTACCTATCCGTTCTTCCTAAAAGCTGCAGATCTGGTCCTTGTCAGTGGGAGAGTCATAAATGTGATAGGAAATGCTGCTAGAGATCATTCAAGCCCCACCTTTTATAGATGAAGCAAATGAAATTTAAAGGTGGTCTGGGGTTTGTGTGGCAAAGGTCAGGCATCAAGTTAGTGACAGATTCAGGGTGAGAACACAACTCACTTTCAATCCAGTGTTCTTTCTGTTCTAAAACGCTATTTCCTTAGCCCCTTTTCTGTAGGTCAGCAATCCTTCAAAGAGAGCGCTATCAATTCCTACAAATTCCTTCTGTGTCCTAGATTTTTTCTGTCTGGGCTTGTTCCATTGCCATTGCCTTTAAATCATGAGTCAAGGAGGAGAAATATTGATAATAGTTCTTGCTCTGCTTTTATCAGGACCAAAGTCCCAACAAGACTTTCTCATGGGAATTCCCTGATAAACCTCAGTCACACTGATCATTTATTTGTTTGCAAATCTGAGTGGTTCTGTTTATTCTAACTGATAGGATTTTACATTTATGAGCACAAGGTACATGCTTCATATTTTTTTAAAATACTTTTATTGATTTCAGAGAGGAAGGGAGAGAGACAGAGAGACAGAAACATCAATGATGAGAGAGAATCATTGATTGGCTGC